AAAAAAAAAAAAAATTTCCTAGTTCTTGCTAGTATATAGAAATACATTTTTTTATGTTATAACTTTGTTCCTGTAACATTTGTTTAGTGCTTCTAGTAAGGTTTTTGATTTTGTTTTGCTGTATTTTTTAGGAATTTCTGTATGCATATCTTCTGCAGATAAACATGGTTTTATTTCTTCCTTTTATTTCTTGTTTCATTGCACTGACTAGGAGAGGACTTTTAGCACGGTATTGAATAGAAGTAATAAACTTGGACATGAATTTCTTCTTGCTGATCTCAGAAGAAGGAATTTAGTATTTCACTCTTAAATATAATGTTAACTGTAGGCTTTTCATCCATGCCTTTCAGTAGATTGAAGATGTTTCTTTCCATTCTTATCTTGCTGAGAATGGTCCCCTTTGCTCCTCCTTGTTCTTAGATTTTTTAGTTCGAATTCTGTTTTATTCTTTTTAAATGTTTTCTTTATCTCTGTTGAAATTCTGTAAGACACTATTCTCATACTTTAATCCTTTAGACATAATTCCCTTTAGTTCTTCAAATAGATTTATTATAGCTGATTGAAAGTCTTTAGTAAGACTTCAGATACACTTTCGGTTCACTGCTCTATTTTATGTGTATGATTCATATTTTTTATTTCTTAGCATATCTTACAATTTTTGGTCAAAAGTGACATTTAACATAATGTGGCACCTCTGGAAATCAGACCCTCCTCCCCCAGACACACACACACAATTCAGCTTGTTGTTTCTGTTTCTTTTTGCTCTTGTTATTTACTTGCTCAGTGACTTTTTGAAACTCATTGTGTAAAGTCTGTAATTGTAATGTGTGGCCCCTAGAGTTCCTGCATGGTTAGCTTAATGGTCAACTAATGATGAGAGAAAGATTTCCTTAAATGTCTAAAACTAGTAACCTTCTCAGTCTTAGTTGAGGGGTCGCCTGTGCTTTACTCAGGTAGTTGACAGCTCTGCCTGTCTGCATTTCCTATTTTACAGAGTTTTAAGGTCAACCAGAGGTGAGAGCTTAGGGCTTTTCCTGTTTTTCCTAGGCATATTCACAGCCATGCACATGGATGTGGCCTTCTAGGTTCCTAGGAATATGTTGGGGCTTTTCAAACCCTCATGAACATCTCATTCCCTAGCTTTTCCTGTTAAGCATTTCGTTAGCCTACTTTTTGCTCCAGCTATTTTGTACTGAGAAAGCAGAGTGAAGAAGTTAAGCAGTTGCCTCTGATTGTTTCTGACAAGCTGCACCTCCCCTCTGCACCCAAATCAAGTCACTTAAAGATAAATAGAGTCTCCAAGAGAACCACCAGACAGGTCAGGTGGTTCTGATATTTATCTCAGAATATGACTTTTAAGGAGCTCTAAGCTTGCTGTATCATTCTTGGTGGCTGCCAAGCTGCCAGTTTGCACCATGATTACAGGCTGTTGGTTTTCAAGACTGCCACAGAGCTTGAGGGGGGAATATGGGAATAGAACAATTAAAATGCCACAGAGTTCATTGTTCTTACCTAGATTTAGCTATTTTTTTTCTTGAATAAATGCTCCCAGAGTTCTTTGAGCCTATGGTTAATTTCCAGATTTCTTTAAACGTTAATTCTTACCATTTCTGTTGGTTTTATGTGCTTTCGTGGAGGAGAGTTTTCAGAACTCTGCTATATTCACTGATGTCACGCTGCATAGCATTTTTTTTTTTTTTTTGAGACAGAGTCTCATTGTGTTACCCTTGGTAGAGTGTCTTGGCATCACAGCTCACAGGAACCTCCAACTCTTGGGCTTAAGTGATTCTCTTGCCTTAGCCTCCCAAGTAGCTGGGACAACAGGTACCCACCACAACACCTGGCTATCTTTTGTTGCGTTTGTCATTGCTATTTAGCAGGCCAGGGCCAGTTTTGAACCCACCAGCCTTGGTGTATGTGGCTAGCTCCCTACTCACTGAACTATGGACACAGAACCTCCATAGCATTGTTATTTATTTATTTTTTATTTTTTCCTCCATAGCATTTTTAAGAGGAATGAATGTTATTAATAGTAGTAGCTTATATATTGAATATACTGTTTAAGTGCTTTATGTAATTATTAGTAGTAAATATTGTCTATATGTAATTTGTGATAATTTCAGAAGATATCCTACTCCTTTTGAATTTTTTTTTTTTTTGGAGACAGAGTCTCACTATGTCACCCTTGATAGAGTGCCATGGCATCATAGGTCATAGCAACCTCAAACTCTTGGACTTAAGCAATTCTCTTGCCTTAGCCTCCCAAGTAGCTGGGACTACAGGTGCCTGCCACAACACTGGGCTTTTTTTTTATTGCAATTGTCACTGTTGTTTTAGCAGGCCTGGGCTGGGTTTGAACCCACCAGCATCAGTGTATGTGGCTGGCACCATACCCACTGTGCTATGGGCACCAAGTCTCCTTTTGAATTTTTAAAAATGTTTTATTGTAAATTCTTTTAGAAGTAGGATCTCACTCTGTTGCCCAGGCTGCAGAGTGATGGCATGATTGTAACTCACTGTAGCCTCAGACTCCTGGCTTTAAGCAATCCTCCCAAACTCAATCTCCCAAATAGCTGGGATATAGGCATGAGCCATGATGTCCAGCTAACATGTGTTTTTGGTTGTTGTTTGTTTGTTTAGAGACAGAGTCTCACTTTAGTGCCCTTGGTAGAGTGCCATGGTGTCACAGCTCACAGCAACCTCCAACTCCTGGTCTTAGGCGACTCTCTTGCTTTAGTCTCCTGAGTAGCTGGGACCACAGGTGCCCCACCACAATGCCCAGCTATTTTTCTGTTGCAGTTTGGCCAGGGCTGGGCTTGAACCCGCCACCCTCGATATGTGGGGCCGGTGCCCTACTCACTGAGCCACAGGCACCACCCAACATTATTTTTTAATTTAAGTAATCTATTATAAAGATTTTCCCACTTTATAAATACTATTTTCTCTCTCTCTCTCTTTTTTTTTTTTTGAGACAGGGTCTAGCTTTGTTGCATAGGCTGGAGTGCTGTGGCATCATCATAGCTTGCTACAGTCTCTAATTCCTAGGCTTGAGTGAACCAACTTGCCTCAGCTTCCCGAATAATCTACAGGAGTGTACCATCATACTGAGCCATTTTAAAAATTTTTTTTGTAGAATTGAGGTGAGGGGGTCTCACTGCTTCCCAGGCCTCAAATGATCCTCCCACCTCAGCCTCCCAAAGTGCTAGGATTACACGTGTGAGTCAGCATGACTGGCCTACACATACTGTTCTTAATAATGGGTGGCAGGACTGTAAACGTTTATGAACAGAAAAGAGAACATTGACTTTATGATTGACGTTGTGAGAAAACAATGTTTAGTCTTTAAAAATTATTTTTTAGGGAACACCTGGCACTTATTTGACTTCTCATAATCAGGCTTCGTACACTCAAGAGACAGCTAAGCCCTCAGTTGGGTCTATCTCTCTGGGACTGCCACGGCAGCAGGAGTCTGCCAAATCAGGTCAGTCAGTTCATATAGTGAGAGTGCATCTGCATTTGTACATTACAGCTAGCAATTTAGTACTTGATTGTTTTGTGTTTCTTTGGCTTTTTTCCACAGCTACTTTGCCGTATATCAAGCAGGAAGAATTTTCTCCACGAAGCCAAAACTCTCAACCAGAGGGTTTACTGGTCAGAGCCCAGCATGAAGGAGTGGTCAGAGGTAAAATGTACTGCTTGGCAAAAATATTAAACTTCATTCCCAGTAAATTTGCTAAAGTAACTCGTATATATGTTTTAATGATGAGTTTTTAATTTTAGCCTTTAAATTCCAAATTTAAATTTCTTTTACATGTAAAAATTATTTAAAATCTTTAAAGATCCGGCTCGGCGCCTATAGCTCAACCAGCTAAGGCATCAGCCACGTACACCTGAGGTGGTGGGTTCGAATCCCCAGCCCGGACCCGCCAAACAACAATGACGGCTGCAACCAAGAAATAGGCGGGCGTTGTGGCGGGCGCCTGTGGTCCCAGCTACTTGGGAGGCAGAGGCAGGAGACTCGCTTGAGCCCAGGAGTTGGAGGTTGCTGTGAGCTGTAATGCCACGGCACTCTACCCAGGGGGACAGCTTGAGGCTCTGTCTCAAAAAAAAAAAAAAAAAAATCTTTAAAGATCCATATTTCAGCAGTCCTTTTTAAAATTTCAATATTTTAGAAATATGTTTTAATAAAACAAAAGTTCTTTCTTGTGCTGCTTTTTCCTTCTTTCCCAAGTAGGGGCTACTTTATTTTATTTTCTGGGCTGGGGTGGGGGTTAATATTTGCTAGTAATTTTTTTTTTATTCAGGTACTCCAGGAACCATCCAAGAAGGAAGTATAACTCGGGGAACTCCAACCAGCAAGATCTCAGTGGAGAGCATCCCATCCCTACGGGGCTCTATCACTCAGGTTTGTTATGCCCATCTCTAGTGTGCTGAGTAAGAGTCAAGAAAAAACTAGAAGTAAAGTCTAAAGATCTTTGGCTGTTAGAGCAATTCAGTTTTGTGGTTAAGTTGTTTATTTTTCTGTGTTAGTAGACTGGGTCTCAGTGATTATAAGCCCCAGATCTATAAACTACCTGCAGAAAGACATTAATGTGACCATTTGGACTATAAGTTATATTGTCTATACTGTGTTTCGTCTGAAAGGTCACTTTTCTGCAAATTGGCAGAAGAAACATGCTCTCATTAATAAACTCTCATTGTCTTTCTGGCAAAGTTTTTGCCATGTGTTTAGCTTAAATAGAATTGGGGAAAACATCATTACCAATTATTTGCTTGCTCTTGCTGCTTGTGAAGAGGCAGGTCTGTAATTACAGTATGTAATCATAATGTGATAGATCTTTTGCCGTAGACTCTAATGCCAAAGTGGGAAATGTGGATGGGATTGACGAAAGCACCAAAAGTCAAATATCTTTTTCCACTTTTAGGCTAAAGAAATGGCCAACTTTGATTAATAGAAGGGCTTTCTTTCTCTGGGTTTTTTGTTAATTTTAATTTGAAATGTAAACCAGTCCTTAGCTACTTTATGAGGTAGTAGAAAATGGAAAATTCTGTTTTGGGAAATTAAACAGAAACTTGTGCTTTGCACATTCTGAGATGTGCTTGCTCGTCATTACAAGTTTGTTCTTCTTTATTTTGTTCCAGTTCCCTAGGACAGTAGTTCTCAAAATGTGGTCCTCAGACCAGTAGCATCAGCATCCCGTGGGAAAGTTGCTAGGCATACACTTTAAGGCCCCAGATTTACTGAAATCCAACCTTGGGAGTAGGGGCCCAGCAATATGTTCTCCCAAGCCCTCCAGTAATTCTCCTAGGGTCTGTACACCAAAGCATTGGCATCACTTGGGAGCTTGCTAGAATAATGCAGAAATGTCAGTCCTCACTATAGATATAATAAATCAGAATCTCCATTTTAACAAGATTCTCAGGTGATTTTTCCCTAAGATACAGTGTATAGAATATTTGGTATATAACGATCTAGAAAGTTGTGTGCCAGCTATTCAAATCTCTCCTTCTGCAGTAGGCCAGTGCATTTCAGCTCTCAGAATGTGTTGACTCTTTAATACAGACAGAAGGAAAATCAATGGGCCTATATGTAATTTTTCTCTTCATATTTTTTTTCTTCTCAGATAGCATAAACTAGATTGAATGAGGCTAAGTTTTATATCTTTATTTTGACATGAGCACTTTGGAGGTAGGTGCTAAGGATTTCTACATGTTTCTACTGAGTCCACTTAACAAGCGGATGAATAAAGTATTACTGTCATCACTCTTCCTGCTGTGAACATGTGGTTTCAGATCATACTCTCTAGAGTTTTCGAGGTCCTCAGTGTATATTGGGAGCCCTAAATATGTGAGTGAGGAGGTCTGGGCCTCCCACTCTCATTTCAACCCAAGCTGCTGTGTCTTGTAAAGTGTTCCAGATAATTAGGTTCTATGAACAATTTCCTGTGAAGGAAGAACTCACTGCTTAAAGCAAGGGTCCTCAAACTTTTTAAACAAGGGGGCTGGTTCACTGTCCCTCAGTCCGTTGGAGGGCCGGACTGCAGGCCCTGGGATGAGTTGGTGGGCTGGATAAATGTCCTCAGCAGGCCACATGTGGCCTGCGGGCCGTAGTTTGAGGACGCCTGGCTTAAAGGAAGAGTAAAAAGAACCATGGTCATTGGTAACCTAGAAGAGGACAATGATGGGAATGATATGACCTAAACTGAGTTAGTGTCATGAAGGCATCGTAGTTTGCTTTTCATCTCTTTTTTTTTTCTTCTTTCCTGATAGGGGCTCACTCTGTAGAGTACCGTGGCAGTATCATAGCTCACAGCAGACTCAAACTCTTGGGCTTTGGCTTGGCACCTGTAGCTCAAGTGGCTAAGGCACCAGCCACATACACCTGAGCTGGCAGGTTCGAATCCAGCCTG